CCTGACAAAAATAGGCTCTGTAGGTAAAGATTGTTGTCATTTGTTTAGACTTCGGCTGAAGTGATCTAACAAATACAGTTAAACAACGTAAGACTGAAATGCATCATGACTATAGGGTTGTCTCCAGTACCCGTCTCTCCGTTTCCAAATAATTCATTAGATGTACTCAATGAAAGTTTGCTACTGGAAATGCCTGATATAACACGTCTGGTGGTGTCAAATTTTGATGTCAGGTCTACAAATTTATGATATTGCCAGCGGTTGACTAACCAAGGGAGGTTAGTACCTGTAGGTTTTTGCAAGGGCCGTTCGAGAAACCAGAGGTCCCGTTCCACTCTATGCAGAGCATAGGGGTGGTGCCCATCTCCATTTCCGTAGCCCTTGGGCGACACACAGTTGTGCAAGGCACTACAGCAGGGGGCTAGTCCGCTGGTAGTGCTGTGTGTTTGACCTTCCCACACTCTTTCTCATATGTGCTGAGTGCTAAGCAGAGAAAAAAGTGTGTACCATTTTTTAAAGTCTGTGGTATGACCTGGCCGGGGTTTGAACTCACGACCTCCCGCTTACAAAGCGAGCACTCTACCAATTGAGCTATTGCATCGGAAACACAACTTTTTTTTCCTGCGCCTCACTAGACACGGGCCCTCGCGTCGACATCTCTTTCGGTGGTACTTACCATTCCTCACTGCCTGGAGCCACCTGTGCATATCATTAAAGACCAATGCCCGCCATAACTCATCCAAACTACCTCCATTCCGGAACCGTTTGGCGCATCGACATCTGCGTTTAGACAAGGGCTGGGAGTGAAGGCTTGATCATGAAAAATTGTCTCGGCAAAACGGCCTTCGATATCCGCAGCTGATAACATGAAACCGTACTCCACTGGCGTAACGCTTACACGTGATTACACTTTAAAGTTGGCAACTCTTGTGGTTAGGGCTGTTGGCTTAGGATCGAGAGGTCCTGGGCTCGAATCCCTGACAGACCCCAGTGTTGTGCCCTCATGCTGAGGTCACATTTCCAAACCGGGGCCTGGCAGGGCTGTTTCAAATAAAGAAAAATCAACAGTTTATGTTAATATGAATATACGCAAATATTTCCCACAATTCATTTTGCTGCTTTGTTGTCTTTTATATCATACTTTTCGCTCCATAAGGCTGTCTGGTCGGGCCCCGGTTTGGAAATGTGACCTCGGCATTAGGGAAGGAACGTAACACCCGATTCCTCACTCGGACCGGGTGAAAATGAGTACCTACCTTTGGTTAGGGACGTCCTCTCAGATGAGACGTAAAGCTGGAGGTCCCGTTCTTGAAGAACAACGTTATAAAAAAACACTTATCTAAAAGTGCAGGAGTCCTTCCCGGTATGAGTGGCTCAAACCTTACAGTCTGGTCTCAGGGTTGACAAGTTAAAAGGTGTCATGTCAATCCTTCCACAAATTTAGTAAATCTCAACGCATAAATACACATGCATGTTAGCTTGTCACCTATACACTTATCTAAAAGTGGAAAAGTCCTTCCCGGTGCAAACCTTACAGTCTACGTCTGGTCTCAGGGTTGACAAGTTGAAAAGGTGGTATGTCAATCCTTCCACAAATGTGGTAAATTTCAACGAATAGATTACACATGCATGTTAGCCTCTCACCCATATCATCGCCGTTTACTCACTATTATCACAATTCCCGTATCATTCAAGATTAAACATAGGAGAAGGATTTCATTTCTATCCATATAAATTGGCAAAATAAGACAGGCGAACTTGATCTTCGATCCACCTTTAAGTGGGAATAACTTTTCCACTTTCCCGGAGAGAAGTTTTATGGATTTTCTGATGTTGGGTTGGCGCCACCTGTACTGAACATGTCTGAACGGAGGCTTAGGTTTTCTCTGAGGCTACAAACATCCCGCTCGTAAAGCGAGCTACTTGACATCACAGTACGATATATATCCGACATGTCAAACCTTTCTTAGGCCACAGCAAGTAAATTTTATGGATGACATCCTCTGCAGACTCCAAGTCTAATGCGAGCGGGCGAAAAAAAACAAGGCGGGCCGAAACAAAACAAGGTTCCTGCGTTTTATTAAAATTTTGAATCAATCATTGTACAAATGGTTTTGATTCAGTGGGAACATCACATCTACACAGCCAACATCACATATCACTGCATAAAAGTAAGAAACAAAACATTAAATCAGAGCCTTTTCTTGCCTCCTCTCTTTATATATAGTTATCTGCCATCCACCTTCCGGCATGGCAACAGACATCTTTGCCCATGGTGCATGGTGACCACTTTTAGAAGGCAACAAAATTTCTTGTTTTTCTGCGCGCGCTGATGTCATCCATAAAAATTACTTGCTGTGGCCTTAGGGCGAGGGGTGAGAGAGCGCATTTGCAGCAGAAACGAATAGTCAGTAACGAATACCAGACATGATAAAACATTTTAACAGAGCCCCATCTAAACCGTATTTAACTTTATATGCAAGCACAGTAAGATCATAGAAATGGCACAGATAATACAGCGGCAGGGTCGTAAGTTGTGGTCTGAATCTTATCAGTAAGATTTTCAAGCAGTTTGTGACAGTTGATGATGATTGTGACAGAACTAACCACTACAAGGATGTTAGGCAGCCTTTTGTGTAACATATTAACAGCTTACTTTTTGTAAGCACATTCACGACTACCCCAAGAACACCCTCAGTTTGTGATCGCATAACAATCTTGCGGCATATGCGGCCCTATTCAAGCTCGAAACATAGCAAATGTGCAATGAAAATAGTTTATACAACATGCGATGACATCGTAAACTCTACAATGATGAACACTACAGTCGTAGAATTCACATAAAGGCTGGTGCAATCGTGCATGGCGCTGGATATACACGCTGTCTACCAAAACTGACTACCTGCTAAGGAGAGGGGGGGTCGGAATCGAAGAACCCCCACGCAAGGCTCAAAGGTCCACTTTTTGGTCCACTTCTTATCTAAAGGTCCAAGATTTCTCTTTAGATGGACTGGTTTCGTATCATCAGCAGGCCTGGAATCGTATACAAACTGCCTACTTTGTCATTAAATAAAAAGTTATCTCTGATTTTTTTTCTATGAAATCCTCTCAAAAACCGTGCAGGAAATGCCATTTCAGAAGGTTCATTTTTTCAAAATTTTCTGGGGGAGCATACCCCCGGACCCCCCTAGGAACCTCGCGACTACGGCGCTCGCTGGTCTCCTCAAGCAGTGAGAAGAACCCCCCCCCTCCCCCATTCAAAATCCTGGCTACGGGCATGCTGCTGCTGTATCTAAACTCGTGGAGATCCTGATACTGTCATGTCGTCAGCTCTTCATGCTAGCTGCCCAGGCATGTCACGAATCGATACCGGTCCACTAACATCTGTCAACCGGCGTTGTGTTTTTATTACCGGCGATGTCAAAACTTGGAGAACGAACTGGACACCTTTGACACTCCACTGCGGTTGAAACCCGAGCGCAGCTGCGCGGTACCCGGCCGTGTATCACGGCGTTTATGAGTTGTAACGTCGGAGACGGGATTGTCACGTAATGACGCATGATTTCACATTAATATATCTGTTTTATCGGCTAACATGCGATGAAAAAGGAGAGTTGGCTATATTATGAGGGCAGGGAGTTGTGGGCCTAATACATCACTTGTTTTACTTGTGCAGAAAAGAGCATGGTGTGTTCGGAACTAGTCCATGGGCCAGACCCCAAAATTTCACATATCGGTACCACCTGACGTGGCAAATTCTCATCATGGTTTATTAAAAGTAGGGTGTCTGTGGAATATATTTTGATATGATAGCCGTTGCACATTGGTAGCTTTGACCTTGCTGTCTGACCTTCAACTTTGACCTCATATGAACCGCGTCCTTTTGCACTTATAATGCAAAGGGGAGTGGTAAATAATCAAACAACGGCTATCATATCAAAAAATATTCCACAGAAACCCTACTTTTTTTAAAACCATGATGAGAATTTGCCACCTCAGGTGGTACCGATATCTCCTCTGGCACCTGAACTAAACCTATAGTTTATACTGAGTATAGTTTCTGTCTGTTTCATCACAATTGGTGATCGGAGATTTTAGGCTTCTTTGGGTTTTCATGCACTTCAAGGTCACCCCATTGCCTGTGTCTGACCTATTGACGTCATTTTCTTCCACCTGTCAATCTTCCCAAACCCACGTACTGTCAACCTACTCTCGACGCTCACGCCATTTCCTGCGTTTGACCTTTTGAGTTGCTGTCATTATGCCTGTCAATCCTCCCCACCCACGTGTAGTCAACCTACTCTGTCCGGACAAACAGGCCCACAAACCTGCAACTCAGCCACTAAAAACAATACTTCCGTACCATAAAGTAAAAATGGCCTCCTGTAAGGTAAATGTGTATCAAGGGACCTTACTTTCAGAGAGGTTTTGTCGGCTAATTTAGATGTTTATTCCATGAGACAAGGTGCCGATCCCACTCTAGGTTTACTTTGATCTTCCGCAAAACTCTTCTTTATTCAGATAACTCCAATTTCATCCTAGCCAGTCTGTGGGCGTTCTAATTTCGATTTGTCTATATACTACTGTAGATGTAATTGAGAAGTCTATAAAATCGTATCGGTAGTAGTTGCTTTCAATTCCAACCGTTTTGTGCCTAGTTTGCCTTTCGATAGAGCTGTCTCCGATAATATCAATTCTCTTTCCAGCTGAAATCGCCTGAACACATGAGAAATGCACGTGCTGGTCCTTATTTGTTAAGAGTGATCAACTTGTTCATTTTGTTCATGTCAAGGCCTCAACCGTTCTCGGCTTGGCAAACTATTGCGTAGCCCTAACCTTCAACTCAAAGTACATAAGTTTTATCTGTGCAAATGATGTTTTGTGAAGTTAATAGCAAGCTGAAGCGATCGAGAATGACTCAGTGGTCGCGTGGTAAATGTAGAACCTGTAAGACTACCCGTAGGGGGGATTTATAATTGGCTAATATTTCACGTTTACAGATGGAAGCGAGCGGTACCCCCTGGCCGTGATGGTGTTCATCCACGGCGGAGGATATACGTACGGCGCGGGGAGTGCTTACGACGGCAGCGTGCTCGCCAGTCTCGGCAATGTCGTGGTGGTCACCCTTAACTACCGCCTCGGTGCTTTCGGTAAGGACGCCCGTTTTTATCAGCGTTACTGATAAAGTAAGCACTTCCCTTGATGGTAGGAATATACTAGTAGTGGGTACGTAGGAGCTAGGGATTGTATTGAACTGCTGATTTGAAGACAGGAATTCTACATATGGATGTAGTTTTAAGATTCAGATAGAGAACACGGTGCTTTCGGTAACGACGCCCATGTTCACCAGCGTTACTGATAAAGTAAGCACTCGCCTTGATGGTAGGAATATACTAGTAGTGGGTGGGAGGGATTGTATTGAACTGCTGATTTGAAGACAGGAATTCTACATATGGATGTAGTTTTAAGATTCAGATAGAAAATACGGTGCTTTCGGTAAGGACGCCCGTTTTTACCAGCGTTACTGATAAAGTAAGCACTTCCCTTAAGCTTGATGGTAGGAATTTACAGTGGATGGTAGGAGGGATTGTATTGAATTGCTGATTTGAGGACGTGAATTCTACATATGGATGTAGTTTTAAGATTCAGATAGAGAATATGTACCCAGTCACAACAACGTGGCATTTGCAGATAACGCAATACGAAAGATATGTCAGTGCCAAGTGCTAAGATAAGGTTAGGGTGTGTACTGCATATATGATCCTCATCCATGGACAATGCTGCTCTTGCAGTGGTTTCTCGCCAACACTGGAGACGGTTTGTCTGTAAAGATTTGATGTAAATGTTGATACATAAAACCCCTGTCACAAGTTTTAAACCTTCCCTTGAAGCCATTTTACACATGGGTGGAGCGAAAGACGTATAAAGTGTCTTCCCCAAGAACACAGCGTCTAGCTAGTTAATTATTGAAATCCTTGAACTCTCTCTCCATCCCGTGCCTGCTAGCCTAGCCCTTCGGCCCGCCATTCGACGCTACATTTTCTCCGTGAAGGAGGCCAGTGACCTCCAGTGGAGTATTGTGGTCGGTTGTACGTTTTGTGTGTGTTCGCAGCTGTGAGCTGTAAGTTTGCTGCATTGGTGTGTAGTTTGGCATGTCGTCTGCTAGTATGCGTGGGATGGTGCACTTATTTTACACCGTAGCAATTTTATAGGTAACGTAAAATTAAACTAGAAAAAGCAAATGCATAATGTTTACCTTCGCATATGTTCTGCTCTGTCAATTCGTACTCAAACACATTCACATATATGATGACAGCTGCAGTAGACTAAATCCCTCCTACTATATAAAATTGTAACATGATGTCACCCAACACTAGTTACCATGGTTCTGGTTCAGGTCATTGGCCAGGTCAGAGGTCACTGTTTGGAGAAGAAGAAGAAACTGGGCAAAAACAATATGCTTTCCTTCGGTATTATATAAAACGTAAAAAAAACACCAATCTTGAGTGACTTGTTTGTTTTGCAGGTTTTCTTAACACGGGTGACGCGAGTTCTCCGGGAAACTACGGTTTGTTGGACCAGATAGCGGCCCTGAGGTGGGTCAAGGAAAACATCGACAGGTTCCACGGGGACCCTAGCCTCGTCACGCTGTTCGGGGTGGACACCGGAGCCGCCGCGGTAAACTTGCTGATGCTGGTTCCCAACGCGGACGGTGAGCGAGGCTACAAAACCAACATATCTCCGTTTCCCCTCTTGATATATGCATCATTAGGTTCGTCCCTAAGGCGTCGCCAAAAACATATATTCACTATGTTAAGTTACTGAAGTTTCTCAAGCATTTCTCGAATATATTACTGCAGACTGATTATATGCTATACTATTAAGCCAGCCCCTGAGGTTTCACCAAAAAAGTCATAATAGGAAACATGTCAGCCTTACAATGTTGTTTTTATCTACCAAAATACAGGCCTTTTTCGCCGAGCTATTTTGCAAAGTGGCTCCGCATTGGCCAGCTGGGCTCTTTCGACGGGAGGACGACGAATCACCAACCTTCTTGCAGAGCAGATCGACTGTTGTAAGCCGAACATTTCCAAGACGGTAGAGTGCCTGCGGAAGAAGCCTTACCAGGACATCATGTCGGCGGATATCCGGATGTTAGGGTCTCAGTTCTTCCCCATATTCGGGCCGGTCGTGGACGGTGACGTCATACCGGATAACCCCAGGAACCTTATGAGTGGTATTGGTATATCTTTGAATATTCTTAGACATTCTACAACAAAAGGTATACATGTTTGTTCAAAGTTGAAACTTGATCGAGCAGTAGGTAAATTTTCTCACCTAGCGCAAAACGTCAGAACACAAGGTAAATTTTCGATCAAAGGTTTTAACACGTAACTACCAACTGAATGCATATTGTGATGACTATACATTTTATATATACTTGCATGAAAGTTCATCTGAGTTGATGAAATACATGAAGAAAGTTAAACTGTTCTCCAACTCAAAAACGAAACGAACTCACCAGAAATAAAGCTGATGAAGACTGAGTGATTCAGTCCAAAATTTCTGGTGAGTTAATTTCGTTCTTGAGTTGGAGAACAGTTATCTTTCTTCACATTTTACACTTGTATGAGTTAACAACACACCTGGACATATCTTCTGCATCGATATCCAGGCGGTGGTCAGTTCTGGTCGTATGACGCCCTCCTGGGAGTGACGGAGTCGGAAGGTTACATGTACATCAGCGACCTACGCAGCATAGAGGACGGCGTGTCGTCGGACGGCTTCAGACTTCTCATCGGAGACTTCGTCAACCAGCTGTTCCCGAACCGGGAGGCGGAAATCACCGACGCCGTGGCCTTCATCTACACCAACTGGGGCGAGGACACCAACAAGACCCGGCGCAGTGGCCTCTTGCGGATGTTTACGGAACAACAGATGGGCGTGCCGGCCATACAGACGGCCAACCTGCACTCCACGGGCAACACCAGATCAGACACCTTCTTCTACACCTTCAACTACCGGCCCACCAGCAGTCCCACGCCGGAGTGGGTAGAGGCCGCGCACGGGGAGGAGATTCCCTTCGTCTTCGGCGCCCCTCTCATCTCAGACACCATGTTTAAGAACATGACCTTCACGAAACTGGAGTCCATGTTGAGCACAGCCATTATGACCTACTGGACCAACTTTGCTAAAACAGGGTAGGTCTTCTATACAGGATAAGTCTTTTAGAACAGGGTCTTTTATACAGTGTAAGTCTTTTAGAACAGGTCTTTTTTCAGGGTAAGTCTTTTAGAACAGGGTCTTTGATACAGGGTAAGTCTTTTAGAACAGGGTCTGGTAAGTCTTTTAGAACAGGTTAAGTCTTTTAGAACAACAAGAATGTTCTATCTTTAAGTTCGCTTTTATGAAGTACGAAGTACGAGGTCATTTGCCATGTCACGATAGTCGCTTTTATAGCTTGTATAAAAATCTTCTTCAAAAGCGTGTCTTCTAGATATTTCCAGGCTATAATCAATTGTTTCTGTTTTGGTTTGTTTACTTGTTCATAACACAGAAGTCCGAATGAGCCCCGTAAGCAGGAGACGACGTTCCTCCACCTGAGACCGAACCGTTACGAGGACGTGCTGTGGAAACCGTACAACAGCGAGATCGTCGGCCAGGAGGGCGACAGCTACATGTACTTCGGTATGCGACCCAGAGTACCCAGCGGGTATCGTTCCCAGAGGGTAGCCTTCTGGAAGGAGCTCGTTCCCAAGCTGCTGAAGCCTCCTCAGGTGGTCGGGCACGGGAGTGCGTATCCTACCCGCTCGCTGAACGAGTTGTGTGCGAGTTTGGACATCGGGAGGGCCATCTTAGTGGGTAACGGGGTCATCCCGACTCGCGCTATGGGTGATCAAAGAAACAGTCCCGTTACCTGCTACCCCACAACCCAAGCCCCGACTTCGGACCCGTCTTTACAGAGACCCAAAGTCGGTTTTGACATGTGGACTCCCAAGTGGTCCAGCGTGGACCGGCGGGACAGAAACCGCGGGTACTCCTCAGAACTGAGCGTGGTCATCGCCGTGGGGACTTCTTTACTCTTCGTCAACGTCGTCGTCTTCGCCGTCTGCTATCACCGCAAGGAGAGGAAGTCTAAAGGCAAACCCGGCTCCCATACTCAAGACAAGGTCAGGTTAAAAGTCTCGGACGTGCAGGAGATGATCAAGATGATGGAATTTCAGGACGCTACCTCGTTAGAAGCGGACGGTAACAATAAGACAGAGCTAGTGGACAGTACTACCATAAAGTCGTCTCGCCTTGTCTAGCAGTAAACAACAACAAAAAAGTGTCGCTGGCTGCTTCTTGGTCACGTGCTGTTTCGGAGCATTGATGTATTTGTCCAAAGTAAGAATAAATGCGATATGTGCCTGTCTTGTTGTTTTATTGTATGTCATCATGTTTTTTTACTTCCGAGACGGAAGTATTGTTATGGGTGGCGCTGGTTTAGGAGTTTGTATGCACCTAAAAAGGAGAGAAACTAGAAAGGCCAATATTTGCTTTGGAGCAAATACAGCGATGGGTTCACCACATTTTACGACATGGCAGGGAAAGAATGGGAAACACAAGGGAAAACAATGATTTACATTGATATAACTATAATATGAAGTAAAATACAACTAAAACAACAGTTGGATAGCTATTCCCTACTTTATTGGTTAGGATTTTTAATTGTCATAATGCAAACTGTTGATTTTCAAAATAAAAAAAAACGTCCATGCCCGGCATTCCAATGCTGGAGCAGGAAAGCTTGAAATACCTACCAAAACACTTGAATACAGACATACTGTCAGTATGGAAATGCTTCTGTGCAGGTGTTAATCAAGTTAAATCCCAACAGCCAATCAGCAAGAAGTATAGAGGAAAGCTGCATGCCTATTGGTTGATGCCCTGCATTCCATTGTGATGACTCATGCCC